AAATTGGAAATTTGACTTTTTTTTGTTGGGGGGGGGGGTAAGGTAACCTTTTTTACTGAGGTCAGCCATGGGCATAAATTTTCAACCCCCCCCCCCCCCCCCCCCCCCCCCCCCCCCCCCCCCCCCCCCGTGTACGCGCCTGAGCATGGGGATAAAGCCGTCCTTGACCGTGAGTAATGAAAGAGGTGCATTGTATTTTAGTGCAATACAATGGATTTGCTTTGGAGGAATAACGGGTTGGCGGGGTGAGCACGACCTTTTTGTCAACAATTATTTTATTCTCTTTTATTGCAAGAGGTGAATTTTATTAGGTTAAATCTATTGCAGTTACCCAGGATGGATACCATATAGTATTGTGAGCACGACCTCTTTTGTCAACAATTATTCTTATTTCTCTTTTATTGCAAGAGGTGAATTTTATTTAGGTTAAATTTATTGCAGTTACCCAGGATGGAATACCATATAGTATTGTGAGCACGACCTCTTTTGTCAACAATTATTCTTATTTCTCTTTATTTCAAGAGGTGAATTTTATTTAGGTTAAATCTATTGCAGTTACCCCAGGATGGAATACCATATAGTTCAATATAGATATCTTTACGGGTCAAACTTCGCCTCTTGTGGAGTATGTTTTTTTCAAAACAACTCTCGCAACATGCACGCAGATATCTTTTGTCCTCTTTTAAAGGTACTATGTCCCATTTGCAGGCCAACAAAAATGAAAAGGTAATTCCAATGGCATTTGAAAGATAATACTAATTTAAAACTTCCCTAAGAAGGGAGGGGGCTTGAAAATGTCTTTAAGTTGGAAAAATAACGACTATTAGTCAAATCGACTTAGGAGCTATAGAGCCAATAAGTAAATGGTCTTGATTTTCAGACCATGTACACATGGTGTACGTTTTATGCTGCGCAAAGTTTCAATCAGTTTAATTTTGGCCATTACAAGAAGTGGTTATTGATGTAGATCAATGCTCATATACCCTTTACAGCTCATGTTATGTATTTTTATTACCAAAGAAGGAAAAAAGCCAGTCAGTCACTCAATAATGTCTGACAGTGAAGTCTATCAAGTAAACGGGTTTCCTTGCATAATTTGAATATTCGGACACTGCTAACGTTTTAAATTTCACAGATAGGAAATACATGACATAGTCATAATTCCTGCCAAAGTTCTACAGCATTTGAGGTTGGCTGCAAAAGGGACATAATATCTTTAAACAAGATTCTTCTTGTTATTGCAGTTAACATGAAAACATAAAACAAAATATCCAGGCTCCTCGATTACACGGAGAGGAATGCAACTGCTTTTCAAACATATTTTCATTTATCAAATTTGTCTATGCAAATGTTAACCTCAACCAAAAGCAACATATCGCATGTTCTTGAATAGAGGGACAATTTCCACCGACCTCTACGTCCGTTTACCACGTATCGGTTGTGTCCGAAAGTTTTTAACGGGCGATATTTTGACTGGTCGAGTTGTACAAAAATAGCATCACAATTTTATGGAAAATTATCCCTTTAAAACTTATTTTTTGGAAGTGCTTCCATAATGATTTTGTTTGTTGTCTTTCTGTAAAATTCTCTTTTTAAACAGTGAAAGACGTACACCAGAGAACTCCGTCGGAGCCAGCGCTTTGGGGCAGGACTTGGGCTCAACAGCGGTCGTTTTGAATTGTAAAATTCAGTCTTCCGCCCCTTTTGCAGCTATATTGTCCGTTCTAGTTTGCCTGTGGTATTAGTCATGTATAAATAGAATATATTCTGTAATGGGAAATGTTGTGAGCACAGGTATAAGATCCCGGTACAAGGGTACGAAATAAAAGGAAATCTGGACACTCAGTCTTTCTTAAACGTACATCACTTAACCTCTTTGCAAATCCGCTAATATTAAAAAAATAGAAATGTAGTGACGTTATATTAGACTCTGATTTAGACTATATTAATAAAGGGGAGAAAAGGTCAGATGTCATGGCTCCTACCTGATATGATGGAGACTAATACAAACTTAGCTTGATGTTTATATCATTTTGTAATCTTTCATATTTTATTTCTATTTTCAAACATGAACAAAATAATGTTACATTTTGTAATAAAAGACGCATACCTCAAGATTTGCAATGAATGTAAAGAAAAATAATTAAAACATTATTATCGAAATCACAAAGAATTTGACTGAATGTTTGCTTTTCTTTGTTTGGTTTGTGAGCAAAAATGGGATGCATGACGTTCTTAGTTGAAAGTGAAAACCTTTGCATTGCGCTAAAACGAGATAGATGGAAAGAGAGATATCAGAGAGAGAGAGAGAGAGAGAGAGGGGGGGGGCAGACAAAGAGAAAAAAAACAGTTGGCAAACGAAAAGAGAGATAGATAGATAGAGACAGAGAGACAGAGAGATAAAGAGACAGCAGACAGACAGACAGATAGACATACAAACAGAGACAAAAGGCAACGAGACGATCGAGTAAAAAGGGGAGAGGCAAAAAGACAATCGAGAGAGAGAGAGAGAGAGAGAGAGAGAGAGAGAGAGAGAGAGAGAGGTGGTGGGGTTTCAGCAGTGGCGGATCCAGGGGGGCCGGCCCCCCCCCCCTTGAGAAAAAAATCATGCAAAATCACGCGATTTTACCTTTTTGGGGGGTTGGGCCCCCCCCCTGGCGCTCAAGGGGGGGGGGGTGCAAATTTTAAAATTTTCGAGGACCAAAAAAAAAAATTGTGCTCACTAACCAAACAAACGATTTTTAATGAGATTCGCATAGATTAGTGAGCTAATATTTCAAACATTCATAACTTTCTTACAATAGGTACGATTCATTTTAAATTTTTGCCATTCTGATTCTGTTTCTGCTTTCAAACTTAATCAAATTATAACTAGGGTTGGATTGCCCTTTTAGTACCACTTTGTGCTCCCAACAGCAAATCGCAAAGAGGCACCTTAAAAAACATATTATCGAAGTCGACAACCTGAATAGTAATATTGAACGAAAAACGAATTTACCGACGGTCGCAGATAGGAAGTGGGGGAAGGAGGGAAAGATTTGTTTATGTGTGTGTCTTTTATACTCCCCCTATAATTGTATTTCCTGGTGCCCCCCCCCCCCCCCCCCCCCCCCCCCCCCCCCCCCCCCCACCCCCCCCCCCCCCCCCCCCCCCCCCCCCCCCCCCCAGTGTCTCGGTTAGTGTCTCCATTTTGAAGATAGAGGGCGGCAAACTCCATCCCCGGTTCAGAGCTTGTCGTTTACAGGAAGAGGCCCCAAATATTATAGTCTGAAAGATAATAAAGATTGATTGATAGATAAGAAGGATAAGAAGGATAAGAAGGATAAAAAGATGACGAAGAAGAAGAAGGAGAAAAAGTAAAGAAGAAGAAGAAAAAAGAAAACGAATTAGAAAAGAAGAAAAAGGAAGGAGAAGAAGCAGAAGAAGAAGAAGAAGAAGAAGAAGAAGAAGAAGAAGAAGAAGAAGAAGAAAAAGAAGAAAAAGAAGAGGAAGAAGAAGAAAAAGGAGAAAAAGGAGAAGAAGAAAAAGAAGAAGGAGGAGGAGGAGAACAAGAACAAGAAGAAGAATAAACTAGAAGAAGAAGAAGAAGAAGAAGAAGAAGAAGAAGAAGGAAATAAGAAGAAGAAGGAAAAAAAAGGGAGAAGGAAAAGGAAAAGAAGAACCAGAAAAAGAAGTATGAAAAGAAAAGAAGAAGAAGAAAAAAAGAGTGAAAGCAGGAAAGGATTACAAAAATGGGGGGAAATTAAAGGAGAGTAAGAACAAAGACCTATACCATGGTGTTGGTCCAGCGTGGTGGTAGCTAGTCTATGGTCCAGCCAATGAGGGGCACTCGTGTCGGTTGATGGGGGGGGGGGGGGGGGGTGCGCAGACCTCAAATTCCGTTGAGAATGCCACCCCCGTTAAAGGGAAGAGGCATATTATGTTCAGGTCGAGTGGATACGTGACCGGACTGTCGATCAAAAGGCCAGCGGTTCGAGTACCAACGCGGCGCTAACTGTCTTTTGGCAAGACATGGATCTACATTTGCCACTCTCCACCCAGGTGTTAATGAGAAAAATAATAATTATGTAAATAACAGAAGAAAAAAATATCGACTAATTTTCATCCACATTGACCAGGCAGGCAGCCAGAGTAGCCGAACCCAACCGACGAGGAAACATCACCAAACTGACGTGTGAACTGAGAAGGGAACTATACGAGTGGCGAAAAGGATTTTGGTTACAACATGGATCATGTCCTCCCATCTCCCTGGTTACAAAATACATTTATATCAAAGATTGTAAAGAAGTGTTATCAAAAAGTATTGACAATTGTGCGACTTAATTAAAACAAAAGCCTTGGTGAGGACAAATTCAACACAGTTGTGCCAAATCCAAAATGTTGATTTTTCAGGGAATATTTTTGTGTTTTGGAAAATTAAACTACGTAAATATAAAATCATATACATTAATACAAAAAAATGTAAGAGAAGAACTTAGTTTTTGACCAGCAGTCATCAATTCGGGAATTGATGGGGCACCATCAAAATATGAGTTTTTCTATCTATTTTAAAACATATGAAATTCGCGACAAAATCTGAATTGAAATTGAATACATTTTTTACAAATTTGAGCCATTTATTGGAATTATATCGGGCAAACCTTTATTTTTCTATTTTGGGGTATATTTTTAGATTTTGTGGTGATTTTTCGCAAGCCGTTTGGTGAGATTGTTTTGATGGCAATACTGTATCTAATCTGTTTGCACTGTATGTTGAAAAGCGCCATCTCAAGGCGAAATTTATTAGCAACATCAACAACGTAACATTATTGTATACGATCTATTAAAGAAAAGCTAGCAGTTTGCCGATTTACTCTGTATCCGTACTGTGTGGAGGTAGACCGCCCAACAACTGATAAATAGATCTACGTTGTTCACCGTATCCAGATGACTGATTCTGTGATTTAGGCACAAGGTACTTCTACTTTCTCAGGTAAGTTTCGTGGATGTTTCTGTCTTAGGATTGATGAATACAGTGTTTGTAAAGGTCGGAGTGCAACGCAGTGCAGTTCCCAGCCGCACAGTCGAGTCAGCTGCCAGCTACAGCCTCAGCCCCACCGAGGAGGGGATGCCATAGCCAGCGAGTGCGGGTCGAGAGTTCACCGGTAGTCGATAGGATCGCGTGTTCCGATCCTACGGCTAACTAGTCCAGCCTCTGTACCGTTTTCGTTTAGCGCACCCAATCAGCTGATAAAATAACACACCCTCAACGTTGAAAGTAGACCTAGCCATTCCTCTAAATCTGGGTCCTGAATACGGTCCAGACGAATCTGCCATTCTCCCCCGGAATTCCGGGGGAGATTAACTCCGCCCACAAAGCTATACACGTTCGATGTACGCTGATTGGACGAAAAACCTGACAATCACTTTGGTGCATTACGTAATGCTCCGCCGCCGTCACGAAGCTACTATTCTCATTATAAGGATTCTATACTTATTTAAAACATTTAGGGTGGAGTGTTTATTACGTTAATGCATTTTAAATTTGTATACGATTAAAAAATCCTCTGTTTGTTGAAAGAAATAAAAGTTTAAAGATTGTGGAACAAAACATGAACTGACTATTGCAAATTGAAAACAAACTGAACTATAAATACTGACGTCCCGACGCCTGATATCGAGTTTACACAAACTGTGCTCTTCGAGTTGGCTTTATCGAGTTGGTTTTCTGAGATTTACATTTACATTTCATGATTTTTGTAACTGTTGTTATCATCGTTTGTTTACCATAATCTGTAAGAACGTCTGTGGATAATCATCATCGTTTTACGGAGGAGAAGATTGCCGAAGCTTTGAAATATGGAGCTACGAAACTGGGACTGAATGACTCTCGAATCTAACATTTATTTATGTTTTATTTATTACAATGGATAAAACAGTGAAGGGTATTCGATTAAGTTAAAAGAAACTGCTTTCCAACGGAGCCCTCCCTCACCAAATGATACAATCAAAATCAGTCAACATAAAAACAAAACATGAATGAAAACATCAATACAATTCAATATATAAAAAAAAAAACATGTATACATTTTGATTAAACTACATGGAGCGCACATGAGATGCACGGCGAGACCCCCCCCCCCCCCCTACCCCCTACCCCCCTTCCCCCACAGTAATCAGATTGTCGTGTTTTTTTAAGCATGTTAGAGAACTGTTTACATTGTTTCTTGAAATTGTGACTTGCAATTCTAGACGGACAATTGCAATTTCCGGTGAATAAAAAGGATAATTTTATGTATTCTGTTTTAGGAAATGGTATTTGTGGAAGGTTTTGGGTGCATGGTATATAATGGCGAGCATTATATACGATAGGTCGCATAACAGACAATGGTCATCATATTATAATTTATAATCATATTATAATATCACCAAACACAATAGTGTTATTTGTGACAGAAAATACATCATTAATATTTTGTTATAGTATATTAAAGAAAATTGAAGAGTCAGGCCTCGAATTACATCAAATTTGGGTCAAGGCCACTTTTTGAGAGGGCACAAATCCATTGAAAGGGGCACAAATCTATCCTAAGGGGCACTAAGGCCAATGTGAAAAGTGCGCGTAAAATCACCTCACGCCGTTGTTTTCGTGGTGGGGGGGGGGGGGAGGGGGATATGTGCACCCCCCCCCCCCCCAACTGAGCGAATTATCGGCCGGCGCGATTTTTCGCCGCTAAATATTCTCCCACGAATTATGCCCCCTCATTGGTCCCCTCCCCTGCCGCCGGCTGGATCCGCCTGTGGGGTGGGTGGAGGGAGTGTGGAGTTTCCCCCTTTGACGTTTCATTGAATTATTAGAGAAAGAAGACGATTCGTTGTACCGTTCTTGACTCTTTATCCTTTTCTGAATTCTAAGGGAAGCGCGGAAGCTTAGACGTTTTTAATAAATTATTAGGGAATGAAGACGATTCGTCTCGATCTCGACTATTAATCCTTTTCTGAACTCAATTCACACCCCTCCCGCGCGATGGGCGGAAGCTATGACGTTTTAATTAAAACGTATGGGAAAGAAGACGATTCTTTGTACCATTATCTCGACTCTTAATCCTTTCCTGATTTAATTCCCGACCCTCCTCCCGAGAAAAATCCAAGTTTTTCACAGATTAAAAACTGTGAAAACGCACCAAAAAAGGTCACAACGCGAAGTGAAGATGTTGAACCAACGATGGGTAAACAAAACTTCCCGATATTGATTGGTCCAAATAAAAAGGATGGATTGAAAAACTAAGCCTGAGTCATTACGGTTTTTGTGCCAAACGTTTCAGTCATTTGGATGAAGACATTCTTTCATATCTCCGTATCGGCAATTAAGTCCCGCCAATAGTTATTAATTTAGGAGTTCCATAGTGGCAATTAAGTCTCGCCGATAATTATTGTTTTTAGATCCCCGTAGGGGCAACAATGTCTTGCCGATTATCATTGTTTTAGATCTCCGTAGGGGCAACAAAGCCTTGCTGATAATTATTGTTTTTAGATCTCCGTAGGGGCAACAAAGTCTTGCCGATTATCATTGTTTTAGATCTCCGTAGGGGCAACAAAGTCTTGCCGATTATTATTGTTTTTAGATATCCGTAGGGGCACAAAAACCTTGCCGATTCGTATTGTTTTTAGATCTCCGTAGGGGCAACAAAACCTTGCTGATTATTATTGTTTTAAAGATCCGTAGGGGCAACAAAACCTTGCCGATTATTATTGTTTTTAGAGCTCCGGAGGGGCAACGAAACCTTGCCGATTATTATTGTTTTAGAGCTCTGTAAGGGCAACAAAACCTTGCCGATTATTATTGTTTTTAGAGCTCCGGAGGGCAACAAAACCTTGCCGATTATTATTGTTTTTAGAGCTCCGGAGGGGCAACAAAACCTTGCTGACTATTATTGTTTTTAGAGCTCCGTAGGGGCTACAAAACTTTGCCGATAATTATTGTTTTTAGAGCTCCGTAGGGGCAACAAAACCTTGTCGATAATTATTGTTTTTAGAGCTCCGGAGGGGCAACAAAACCTCGCCGATTATTATTGTTTTTAGAGGTCCGTAGGGGCAACTAAACCTTGCCGATAATTATTGTTTTTAGAGCTCCGGAGGGGCAACAAAACCTTCCGGTAATTATTGTTTTTAGAGCTCCGGAGGGGCAACAAAACCTTGCTGACTATTATTATTTTTGGAGCTCCGTAGGGGCAACAAAACCTTCCGATAATTATTGTTTTTAGAGCTCCGGAGGGGCAACAAAACCTTGCTGACTATTACTGTTTTTAGAGCTCCGTAGGGGCTACAAAACTTTGCCGATAATTATTGTTTTTAGAGCTCCAGAGGGGCAACAAAACCTTCCGATAATTATTGTTTTTAGAGCTCCGGAGGGGCAACAAAACCTTGCCAATAATTATTTTTTTTAGAGCTCCGGAGGGGCAACAAAACCTTCCGGTAATTGTTGTTTTAAAGATCCGTAGGGGCAACAAAACCTTGCCGATTATTATTGTTTTTAGAGCTCCGGAGGGGCAACGAAACCTTGCCGATTATTATTGTTTTAGAGCTCTGTAAGGGCAACAAAACCTTGCCGATTATTATTGTTTTTAGAGCTCCGGAGGGCAACAAAACCTTGCCGATTATTATTGTTTTTAGAGCTCCGGAGGGGCAACAAAACCTTGCTGACTATTATTGTTTTTAGAGCTCCGTAGGGGCTACAAAACTTTGCCGATAATTATTGTTTTTAGAGCTCCGTAGGGGCAACAAAACCTTGTCGATAATTATTGTTTTAGAGCTCCGGAGGGGCAACAAAACCTCGCCGATTATTATTGTTTTTAGAGGTCCGTAGGGGCAACTAAACCTTGCCGATAATTATTGTTTTTAGAGCTCCGGAGGGGCAACAAAACCTTCCGGTAATTATTGTTTTTAGAGCTCCGGAGGGGCAACAAAACCTTGCTGACTATTATTATTTTTGGAGCTCCGTAGGGGCAACAAAACCTTCCGATAATTATTGTTTTTAGAGCTCCGGAGGGGCAACAAAACCTTGCTGACTATTACTGTTTTTAGAGCTCCGTAGGGGCTACAAAACTTTGCCGATAATTATTGTTTTTAGAGCTCCAGAGGGGCAACAAAACCTTCCGATAATTATTGTTTTTAGAGCTCCGGAGGGGCAACAAAACCTTGCCAATAATTATTTTTTTTTAGAGCTCCGGAGGGGCAACAAAACCTTCCGGTAATTGTTGTTTTTAGAGCTCCGGAGGGGCAACAAAACCTTCCGATAATTATTGTTTTTAGAGCTCCGGAGGGGCAACAAAACCTTCCGGTAATTATTGTTTTTAGAGCTCCGGAGGGGCAACAAAACCTTGCTGACTATTATTATTTTTGGAGCTCCGTAGGGGCAACAAAACCTTCCGGTAATTATTGTTTTTAGAGCTCCGGAGGGGCAACAAAACCTTCCGATAATTATTGTTTTTAGAGCTCCGGAGGGGCAACAAAACCTAATTGCTAATGATTATTGTTTTTAGAGCTCTAGAGGGGCAACAAAACCTTCCGGTAATTGTTGTTTTTTAAAGCTCCGGAGGGGCAACAAAACCTTGCTAATGATTATTGTTTTTAGAGCTCTGTAAGGGCAACAAAACCTTGCCGATTATTATTGTTTTTAGAGCTCCGGAGGGCAACAAAACCTTGCCGATTATTATTGTTTTTAGAGGTCCGTAGGGGCAACAAAACCTTCCGACTATTATTGTTTTGAGAGCTCCATAGGTGCAACAAAACCTTGCCGATAAATATTGTTTTTAGAGCTCCGGAGGGGCAACAAAACCTTCCGACTATTATTGTTTTGAGAGATCCATAGGTGCAACAAAACCTTGCCGATAAATATTGTTTTTAGAGCTCCGGAGGGGCAACAAAACCTTCCCATAACTATTGTTTTAAAGCTCCGGAGAGGCAACAAAACCTTGCCGATTATTATTGTTTTTAGAGATCCGTAGGGGCAACTAAACCTTGATAATAATTATTGTTTTTAGAGCTCCGGAGGGGCAACAAAACCTTCCGGTAATTGTTGTTTTTAGAGCTCCGGAGGGGCAACAAAACCTTGCTAATAATTATTGTTTTTAGAGC